CAGCACATGGTAGGATAGGAAATGTATTCCGTTGGATTGAACATTGCTGTGAATGAAACAGAGAACTAAGTGCAGAGAAGAAAGGAAGTTGATCCTAGAACTCCAAGGTCTATTCAAGAAATTACTAAAGGACTAAGATTCCTGCAGTGAGCTTCCCAACTCCAGGATACTATGAAATCAGAAGATGGCCATTTCAACTTTTTCATTATCTGAAATATACACAGACAAGCCATACAACAAAATGAATATGAAATATGCAAAGTATATGATTATTTCCTTCCAAATAGCGAGCAGTTGGCTTTACTATGTTACATTTAAAACTGAGATAACATTCCAAACATGTTATCCAATTTGTAGAAGTAATTTAGTTACAGTGGCTTTTAGTTTTTCCTCCATGCTTTAATTAACATTTATTGGCTTTGAGAGCCAAACTCATTTGCATTGGAGACCTGATCCTGTCACCAGTGGGCTGTATCTGTTACTCACATCTGCTTGTCTTAGTTAAGAGCATTACGGAAGGAAGGGGTGATCTTAGTTTGGGAATGAGATGAGTCTTCTGGTGGTCAAGCAGCATCATAAGTACTGTTTTGGGTGGACTGGGAATTTTTGTCTGTGTATCTGTGTTGTATCTGTGGCTTGAGATTTTTTGTTTCAAGGCTCTTTCTAAAACTGACAAATCGTAACTCCACACGTAAACAGACCCTTGCAACAGACAGTTGCAACAAATTTATACCTATCTAACACTGATCAATTTCTCTCTTACTCATTTTCATAGGAAAAATTGCAAGGAAGACAAGGAATGGATCCATGAACAGTCAAAACAGCTTGAAAAAACAGAAACAGCTTCAAGTTCATTTTATACTGAAATCTGAAGGGTTAGGAAATGAAAACACTAGTCATCTGGAATTCAGTTATGGTCTTCTATGGTGGCCTCAAGATATTTAGAAGCAAGCAAGTTTCTTTTCCAGACCAGGGCAATCTGAAGTTCTAACATTTTCTGCAGATCTAATTTAGTTCCCTAAGCAAAGGTTGGGCAGCCATTTGTCTGGAATGGCCTCAGTTATGCAACAAGAGCCAAGAATCCTTCCAATCCTTTGGTTGTATGAAATTGGCTGAGCAGAGGGAACTGTGCAAATGTGGGCCGAAGAACACTATAGTTTCATTTTCAGTTCTCTGATAACTAAAAAAAGAAAGATTTTTTTCTCCTGTTAAATGTAGCCCCAAAAGTTCTCCTCTTCAAATTCTGCAGAAACATTAGACTGAAATTAAAATGTTTGCTACGAATTAAATCGAAATAGAAAGAAAATCACTGAAGTTTAAGATTGGGACAAAGTTCAAGAACTTAACAATATAACCGTATTACTGCTGTTGCTCTCCTACATTCCTTGAATATTAATAATAATTCTGAAAAAAAAATTCCAATCAATTACTCCAACAACGTAATCATGTATATTCCATTTCCAGGTTCTCCTGGATATATAACTATTTCTTCTTAGGGCCACAGGATCTAGAACTTAAAGAGCCAAATAAGAAAATAAATGATGGGGTGTAGCTTATTATGGAATAGACCCATGAGGGCAAGAAAACGTTTAGCTTGCATCTCTCAGAGAGCAAAATTTCATGTGTATATCCTATCACTACATTGTTAAATTCATTCACAGAACACATGCTTCTTGCCCATCCTGACAATTTACCTTCAAAATCTTTTTCCTCCAAAGCTCTTATTGCTCTATTGGCATCCAGTAAAAGCTATAAAGACATCGACTGGTGGCATGGCACAAATGACGTGAAGTATGTTATTGACAAATTACATAATTCACATCGTTTGTACACCGATGTCATGATGCAGATGACATCACTTGCAATCCCCACCATTTACATAATGACATCTTCTTCATTTCACTTATCAGCAGAATATATCATGAGAAATGCTGGACTAGAAGAAATAGAAACTGTAATTAAAATGCTGGTAGGAACATCAACAAACTCAGATATGTCACTGCTGAGTTATTCGCCAATTCCATCATATTTGGAATTTATTTATTATTTTTAAGATTGTTTTTATACTGTGTTTTAATTGATTTTATCTCCTTTGTAAACCACCCAGAGTCGCTGTTCAACGAGATGGGCCATGTCAAATTTGATATACTGTATAAATAAATAAATATAAATAAATAAATATACCAGGGATACCATTCTGATGGCTGGAAACAAGGAAGACTTGTTGAAGGGGAATGAAGAAAGTGAAACTGCTGGTCTGTTGCTCAATATTTTTTTAAAAAGCTAAGATTGGGTCAACAGGCAATGTCAACCCAATGCAAATAGGCAGGGAAGAAGATAAAGTACTAACAGAGTTTATTTTTCTAGACTCAACAGTTCCCAAAGTTGGTGACTGCAGCCATGAACTTCTTTCTGCTACTGGAGGGGTGGGTCAGGATAAGATGGCAGATCTAGACAAAATATTGAAGTTCAGAGATGTCACACTGACAATAAAGATATGTGTATTAAAAACCATAGTTTTCCCATTTGAGAAAGCTGGACCATCACAAAGACTGAATGAAGAAATGAAGTTGCCTTTGGATTATGGTGCTGGAGAAAATGGCTGAGAATAATTTCAACCAGGAGAAGAACAAATCATGCAATACTAAGTGAAGAAAAACCAGGCTGTGCACTGGAAGCACTAATAAGGAAGCTAAAGATTACGTATTTTGGACATATTAATGCAACAACAAGAGTCAGTTGGAGAAGACTTGATGCTTGAAAAATTTAAAGACCACTGAAACAGAGGACAACAGATGGCTAGTCCTTCTTGTTTCTATTAGAACTCAAAGAAGCAGTTGTTCCCATTTCACTCTGTCCATTGGATCATAGAGTCTGAGGTAACTGATATAGGTGAAGGCACATTTTGAGGTGGAAGACCCATTAAAGCTGTACTGTAGGTCCAAAAAACAAGTTTAATATTAAAAACAAAGGCCCCTAAATTCACCACAAGACCAAAGTGCCTTTTCCTACTCAGAAGTGACACAGTCCCCCTTCATTTTATATTGTCAATCTACTGGCTGAAGCCTTTGTTCTTCATAAAATGCTAAGGATGGTCCCTGCCCTTCAAAGAGTTATCCACTTCTGTGCCTAAGACAAAATATTGCTCAGGTTATTTACAACTCCATTGGGCTTTTCCACAAATCACCCAACAACAGCTTCTTTGCAAGGCTTTTGTAGTTCTCCTGGGATTAAACTCACATTGATTGCTAGGAAAATGGAATATTTTTTTACTGCAGAGGTGGGCAATCCACAGGCCATATGCAATACCCCAGCACATCTGTTATCCCTACACCACCGCAAGATTGCACAGGTGAAATTAGAAGCCAAAGTGACTCAATTTTGTTTTGTCATTGAATTGTTTTATTGTTCTCTGTGTTTCAGTTTGTGAATCACAAGTCATTGGGAGCTGGGCAGTGAAACTAAATAAATAAATAAAATTCTGCAGGGCGATCTTTGATCCATTTTTGGATTATGGGGAATTTTTAAGGTCTCCTGCTCTCATTCCCATCCTTAATCCTGATATATATCCCTAAAAATTGAGCTACACCCCTTCCAGTGATATGAAAATATCACCGATTGGGTTTCTCCAGCCCTTTCAAACAAGAGACTATGTTCAGCCCTTCTATCAGAACACTGAATATTGACTCAGAGGGATGTGCAAAATGTTGCACGCACGAACTGTTCTGTGCACAAAACAGGCAATTCTAAGTGGTCTGTGCCCCAGCTAAAACATGCATGATTGGCTCAGATGTGGACTCAGAAGATGTGTTCCAGCTAGAGGCATTCTGGGATGGGAAGAGTGGGAAAAGGGGAAGGTCACTGGAGATGGTGACACATAGCATGTAGCAATAGCTAAAAGAATATAAGATAAGGTAAGTGTGGAAAGATCAGGGTGGGTCAGGTGGCCATGAAGATGACAGCAGCTCCCAGTTAAGGAAAGTTAAGAGAAAGGAAGCCACAGAAGTATAGGGTTGCCCCACTCACTCATAACCTTGCCCCACTCACTCATAAGACCTTATGGGTTGGTCTCACAATTAAGAGGTTGCAGATTTCAGTTTGATCAGATTGTGACTCCCCACCTGGAACAGTCCAGTTCTACTTTTGGGCCAAAATGTGTAGGTTCCATGCATGGAATGAAACACATTTTTTATTTCTACTGAATCAAGAACAGCATTCCTCAACAACAATCCAAGAAGACCTCTTGTCAAGTGAAGGACCCAGTTTTATTGATTTGATACGATTGCAATTAAACATATTGATCCAAACCCACAGAACAGAAGAACCCACAATCTCTTCACAGTTTAACACCTTATTTTTTAAAAAATAATCATTGGAAAATGAAATTGAGCAAGCTAAAGAATGTTTGCTGTGGTTTTAATCATTATGCAACACTCCTGCAACACTTAAAATAGTTTCTAAGCCGTTTTATTGGAAAGTACATGAATAGGGCTACCATATATGGGTTGCAAACTCCAGAGGCCACTTCGCAAAGGGACACCAAAACTCTGACTCTGCTGCCATCGTAGTGATACCCAGATTCTTGCAATCCAGATATCAGATGTTCAATTTAACTATCATAGCCACCTGCCCAGAATCCTGGAAATGCACTATTCAAATTGGAAAGAGAGGAAGAAGGAAATAGCTATGTCATTCACGCTCCATCCGCATCGCTTTCAGCGAAGCTCTGAGACTGAAAGAAGCCCACAATGTTTGTGCCAGGAGTCACATGTTTTAAAAAGAGCCCTTTAACACAGAAAAAGCCCTCTGTGGTCAACGGGCCAAACTTCTTCTTTTTTATAAATCTATCTGCAAAGGCCACAGGGAGTTGTGGGGGGCGGGGTGTATCAATGTTATCCAAAGGAGTGTGTGTGCTGAAATGTTTACCATGGTTTTTTTTAAGAAACAAAATAGGCCTATTAAGCTTGACAGAAGATGAATGCAACAGTTTTAGTCCTCCTTTTTATTTATTTACTCACACAGAAATACAAACTTTATCATTGTCATATGCAACCCAGGTTCAGATTCAGCTTGCATGTTCACATCAGTTGTGAATTTCCAGAAGTCCAAACACTCTTAACTGGCTTTCAGTTTAGGAAGAATTAAACACAATCAGCACCACAAAGCAGAAATCATGAAACTTCACATTTGGAATTTATGGGGCATGTGTTCCTTGCCTCTTGAAAGCCCTTTCAAACTTCATTTCAAGAAGAAAATTGTACTGTATTCCTGTAGGGAAGAGATAGAAGAGTATATTTGTTTATTATAAAAAAAATAGGCATCAGGGAACTATGTTATCAATAATCTAGTTATCCCAAACCTGGCGTATTCCAGTTGTGTTGAATTTAAACTCCATCATCCCCAGTCAACATGACTGACTAGTTTGCTACCTAGGAATTCTGGGAGTTGTAGTCCTAACGCTTCTGGAGAGCATTAGCCTACAGGTTGGAAAACTAGCAAACTAGCAAATTCATGGTCTCACATGAAAAGAGGAGATTAAATTTTAAAAAATGGTCAGCAAGTAGCAGCACATATCCAACTTATGCTGAATCAGACTAGTAGGGGGAACCACCTGGGAACTCCAGGGCTATTGGCTAAACTGAGAAGGTGAAAACAAATCCTGAGAGCAACCTTTTCCAGAAAAATAAAAGAAACTGCCTGGATGCCTTTAGCGCCAGAAGCCAAGCTCAACTTGAAAGCATCTTGATTTTACTTACTCGCTTCCCATCATCTTCATTAAATCGCTCAACCATTTGGCTTTGGGATCAACACATACTTTGTGGTTGTTCTTTAGTGTGATTCTGAAAAGCAAGCAAATTTGGTGAGGTCAATTTTCTCAGAAAATATTGAGTCTATCTAGGGGAGTGAATAAGGGAATTAATTAGGGTTACAAAAATTCAGACACCCATTCAATGTCAGCAAAGAGACACAGACATTCCTGATTCAGTTGTGGTGGGAATTTAACTTAAATCTGAAGGGAACAAAACAAGAACACTACAAACTTACTAAAAATACATATTTAAAACTTTGAACAGAATAGGGAAATTTGATTAAGTGGCTACCATGTTGGCTTTTGGCTATTAAACACCCAAACCAGGGTGTCCAAGGGTGTGTGTGTTGAAAAAGTCATGATGCTTGGATTGCATCTGTATGGTTGAAGCTCTGCTCCTTCTCAGAAGCATTGCAACACACCCAAAAACCTCAACTATGATGGAAGCATCTTGACTTTTTGGACCTCCCTCCCCATAAATGTCTCTGAACCCAACTTCAATGCCCTGAACTGCATCCTAGACAACACTTATGGGGGACAATTACTTTTTCTGCTGGAATGAGGCAGAAGCAGCAGAATCCAGCAAAATTTCCAAGGTTTACCATCCTGGAGATCCATTAGCATAGATCTCTATTAATGTTGAGGGAGTCAAGAGAATGAAGAAATACCTAGAAACTCAAATCTGTGGGTGGGCTATAAACATTTCAATTACCAGGCAAAATATTTAGAAAAGCAGTGACAAACCCAGTGAACTTAGTTACCCTTGGCTTATCTCAAAAAATTATGCAGGATCAGACCTGGTAAGGGCGTGGATAGGGCATAATAATTATTATTGTGTGCCTTTGGGTCAGTCTTGATTCCTGGCAACTACATGGGCAAGTCCATGCAGTCTTCCTGGCAACATTTTTTGGAAGAGGTTTGCCCTTGCCTTCTTCCTATGGCTGAGAGAGAGTGGTTGGCCCAAGGTCACCCAGCTGGCTTCGTGCCTAAGGCAGGACTAGAACTCCTGGTCTTCTGCTTTCTAGCCTGGTGTCTTTTTTTTTAGATTTTTTTATCCCGCCTTTCTTATATATACCTAATACTCCTTCCTCCTCCATTTTCCCCACAACAACAACCCTGTGAGGCCAGTTGGGCAGAGAGAGAGAGTGTGACTGGCCCAAGTCACCCAGCTGGCTTTCATGCCTATGGCAGGACTAGAACTCACCATCTCCTGCTTCCCAGCCTGGTGCCTTAATCACTGAACCACTAATACCCTCTAAGAAATACCAGTCCTGCTGAATAGGTAGGGAAGCACTCCCCACCCCCAAAACACACTATTCTGGAGGAATGCAATGGCAAACTATTTTTGTATTATTGCTATGAAAAAGATGAATGTCTCTGTAATGTCACCATGAGTCAAATTTGTCTCAAGGGAGATTTTGCTTGAAAATCTCCTTCGGGTTGTGCTCAACTTCTGGTGAGGCAACTGTTTACTCGTTCCTTCTTTCAGGACGTTTTCTTCTTACTTCCCAATCTGTTCTACTGCCTGGGACTTCTTGCTGGGCTCCCATCTAAGTACTAATCTGATCTGATTCTGGTTAGCCTTTTCAAGGTCAACCAAGGTAGGCTAGGGGCTAGACCTGCTGTGCCTCAAGGACTGCATGGGGCTTATTTTCAAGTAAAGCTTGCAAAATTAGCTTCTCCTCATGGCAAAGCTTTATCTGGTTCAACTGAGCTTAGTTAGCACTCATTTGGCTTGGAAAGAGCCAGTATGATTTACACCAGGGCTGGCTGGGGAATTCTGGGAGTTGGTCCATATATCTTAAAGTTGTCAAGGTTGAGAAACACTGAATTACACAGAAGATAGACAAGGACTGGCTACATGCCAGAAGACAGGGAGAAAATGCCTAGAATAGAAACTTCAGAATCCAAATTTTGCATCAGCCCAATAAACTTACATGATTTCCATTTTTCTGCAGGCCACCCCAGATGGAAAGAGCTCAACACTAGCATATTTTGAGGGACGAATGAAGGTCCTTGTTACTCTGGAACATCTGCAGCTTAAGTTCAGTGGGTCAAAGATAGCTGTGAAATTCCAGAAAAGGTTACACTTTTTCAAAATGAGTTACACAAATGAGTATTTAAAATGCTTTTCAAAAGTTTCATGGCATGTAACAGAGAGGGCTAGAGAAAGGTACTGGATTTTGCTTCCTGTTGCTACTTTAAAGCAACCTCCCCCAATGTAATATCTTCCAGATGAGTTGAACCTACAACTCCATCTTTTTGACTGTCAGAGGAAGCTGGTTTAAACACTGCCAACAAATGCTCAACACATTTATTCCACTTTTTAGAGATTCTCCAACTAAAAGAATGGTTTAACTCCAAGTCTGACTGTGTCTTAGTGCAACTGAGTTGGTCATGTCCTCATGGGTGGTAGAAGCCCAACTAAAAATCCAGAATAGAAATAAGCAAAAGTACATTTCTGTAGCCCCCAACTTCCAGGGAACTTTCCAAGTAAGCCTATCTACAATTTTTAATTTCCTTTGAGGAATAAATTTCTGCTTTTCTAATGTAATTCTTAGGGTGCCTGGCAACATCTTTAGAATTTATTTTGGGAGCGTTTTGGAACTTAGCTTATTGGTGGAAGTAGGGGAGGGGGTCTTCTCCTAGGGTGGCTGTTTTCTGAGATATGTCTTTCCATCACTCACCCCTTGGCTGCCTACCCTTCTAAAGTAGAAAAAGCTGATTGTAAGAAGTTCCCTCACTATGGTTTCCCATAGTGAAATGTGAATGTGAGCAGCCAGGGAGGCTGCAGACTGCTGGAGAGATGATTATGCAATATAATACATTCACACATCCCCTGGCCATCTTGTATCTAATTAAGTATGAACACTGCACCCACCATCCATAAAAATTGCACTGAACTCCTTTCATTCACTTGAATGAGAAGTGGTATACAGAAGTCCAGGAGGATTTTTCTGCATGGCACTACTTAAAAAGTACAGTCAATCCCTGTGTTCTTCAACTTGCAATACTATCTATCTAACATGGCTCAAAATTAAATTCAGTTTCTTGAAAATTGGTGGTATGTGGTGTGGGTAAATCACAAATCCCAACAAAATACCTTTGTTTCCAATGATGTGATGAAGTTTGAGAATCTCTCAAAAAAAGCTAAGCACAGGTAGCTGAATTTTCTTATTTCTAGCACAAGGTTGCTGCCAGAATGTGTCTAGTTACATTAGAACTAGAAAAGAAAATGCTGTATCATCAGACATGACAAAAGGATTGCTGGAATGAACTTCCCTGACTTTTTTTTTTAAAAAGACCCCATTTAGGAAGTTCATGAGTTTTATTTCCCATGTCTTTCTATTAAAATGCGATGGTGTATGAAATTCTGCAATGTTTCCTGCTGCTTATTTACACAGCAACTGGCAGAAAATGAAAGAAAAATATAACCAGCTTTCTGTGGTAGTGGCTTTAAAAACAAACTATTTTAAGAGGGAAATATAATTGTAACAATTCAATCTGATTTAGAGTTTCAGTAGAATAGCAGACAGAACGGAAGGATGATAAAGCTACTGTAGTTCCTCTTTTAAATATAAATATGCCCAATTTTTGTGTTGTTTCCAGTTTTTAAAAAAGCAAGCAAAAATACGTGGATTACAGGCAGGTGTGTACAAAAATGAATGTTTTTTGGGAGGGGAGGTGCAGTTAAAAAACCCTATGTTCATTTGCAATCAAGTGTGGACAAAAATGCAGAAAGGGTGGTAGTCAAAAGTTAAGATAGCAGCCATGATGGAAATGCCACTCTGATAGCCACCACCAAGGTTTTTTTTGATGCCCCTACAAAAATGTGTATGTCAGTCAAATGTGTAGTGAATGAGAAAGCACAGAATTTTTATTGTGGATAAAAAATAAACGGCAAGTGATGTGGGAGTAGGATAACGTGTCCCTGAACATTAAAAAAGGAGATACTGAGCGAACACATTTGTCTATCTTTAGACCCAGACAAATGTCTGCTTGGAGAAGGAGCAGTACCAACATGACTTGAACTTCTAACACCCTGGCCTACGGACGCCCACATTTCTCTGTGAGAGGGCCCACACTTTTTATAGTGGCAGTCCACAGACTCTGAAAGAGACACAGTGATTCTATTCTGCCTCTCACTGAAGTGCAGCTGCCCTTCCCTCTTGTAGAAAAGGAATAATATTTAAATCAGATCCCATTTGAGGTTTGATGGACCTCCAGAAAGCAATGGATAGAGAAGGGAATGAGAAACTCACTCATCTTCAAGTTTTTGCCAGTGAGAAACAAAACCATGACCTCTTGGGCATGTTCTAACTTCTCAAACCTATTCTGCAGAGGTGCTGTCAGGCTAAGATGCTGCTATGAGCTCATGGAGGAAGATGGAATGTGATCAATAAAAGGTAAAGTTTTTAAATTTACAAATAAGTTTATATGTCCCCCATTCTGAGCATTCTGCATAGATTACCAGCATGCATGCATGCATGCATGCATGCGTGCGTGTGTATGTATGTATGTATGTATGTGTATATA